CCAGATCACTCCAGTCCATGCTCCTCCTCACCCTTGTGCCCTCCTCATCTGCTCTTGCTCCCATCGCCCCACTCACTGCTACAGCCGCTTCTCTCTTCACGTACAAGTGACACCCTTGTCCCCCATGGTAGAGGTTTTCACCATATTTTCCTGCATTTCAGGTCAAGCCAGAACTTTGATAAAACGCAGATGGTGCGCTCCACAGCTGCATCAGATGGAGCCGGCGGCAGGACCCCCACACACCACGGTAGGTTGCAGAGAACCTGGCAGACACAAGTGATAGTGTGTTGTGGTACAAAGTAGTGAACGTGGCTGCTCCTCGATGCCAGGGGCTTGGTGGTATGGTGTTGCCTTTGTGCTTGGAGGTGCTGGGGCTCTGGTTTTGTGGAAGGGATGCTTGGTGCTGCTTCTGTTAGAAGCCTCTCCCCTGGGCTTACTCCACATTTGCCCTGCAGTTACAGAGGACACACGTGACTTAGCCTTCAGCTCAGCTGGTCGCAGCGTGCTAGCCTGCTTCAGCCCACCGTGTTTCTCCACGTGCTGCTCTGCTGCTCCCACCAACATCTCCTCTGTTGCCCTCCCTGAGACCAGCCCCACTCACGCCACTAACAGGACAGGTAAGTACCAGCCCAGGCACCCGGGAGGTGCTGGGACAACACCGAGGTCTGTCTCACCGTTGCATCACGTTGTATCCCCAGCCCCATCTCACCTCGTGTCTCACCTCTGCATGTTTCAAAAGGACGTGCAGCCTGCCCTTCAAAATGCGCCGGGTTCCCTCCACACCCGCTGCCTGGGTTGAGACCTGCTCCAGCAGGCAGCTGCGGGGCAAAACGGGACTTCCAGGCTAAACAGCCTTTGCTGCCTGTGTGGCAGGGTTCAGACACCCGTGATCATGCTGCCAGGGGTAAGTGGGGGCTGGAAAGTCTTTGGAGCTGCCTGCTTTGCCAGCACGTAGTCTGACCTCGCTCCTGTTTGCTCGGAGCAGAGTTCTGACAGGCCGGGAGGTGTGCTGCCTCTTGCCTGCCTGAGCAGGGCTTTTCTAAGCTTGCTCGCTCCATCATCATCACTGCTGTGGGAGGAAGAGCACCTCAGGCAGTCACTGCGGAGCCGTAACACCCCTGGAGTCATGTCTCAAGCTCACCTTAAACACTGTGCCCTACCCAAACACGGGGCTGTGCCCCTCTTTGTCCCCACAGCCTGCTCTAGCTTCCCTTTGCTGCGAGGATCCCACCGGCCCCATCAGGCTGGGAAGCCCGGGCTGGACGCAGAGGCATAACAGGGGAGGTGACATGGGGACAGGACAATGCCAGACCTGGTAGCTGTTCTCTCTGCGCTGGCCTCGGAGGTCGGGAGTGCTGCCAGCCTCGCTCTGCCTCTCAGCACCACCTTCCTCTCCCTTTTCTTCACAGACCAAAGTCAGACCTCACTCCTGCCAGTGACAAATATCAAAGCCAAATCCAGGGGCATCACTGGGAAAGCGACCTCCTACACCAAGTGGCCAAAGACACCTGACAGGTCTCAGAGCTTCGGCAGCCCCAATGCCAGCCCCTCCTCCCCCTTCACCCACATCCAGGGCAAATCCAAGTACATCTCCAACCTCTCGCTCTCCCGCAGCAACTCCCCGCTGGGGCAGGCCCGGCAGCAGCGCAGCGTCAAGCAGCCGGTGAGCGAGTGGCCCCGCACGGAGGATCCCGGCACGGATGGTAGGTTGACTCTTATCTTCTTCCCTCCTTGCAGCAGCACTGTGGTCCTGGGTTCTCTCCTGGGGTGTCCTCAACCCATCTGTCCTGCACAGCACTCCGTGTCCACATCCTGCAGCTTATTTGTTCCCGGATTCAACCTCCAGCCCTGCTCTTCCTCCCCCACGCTGCCTTACACTTTCTGGCCATATTAACCAGTTGCTAGTTCCCTTCTGAGGCTGCTGTACTGGTGCCTCCATTCTTACCCCCATCTTGGCTTGCTCAGCCATTTCTAAATCTGATTTAGAGGAAGCAATGCAGAGATTTGGTCATGTGGGAAAGGTGTGACAGTGCCCAGCCCTTGATATAGTCCAAGGCACCCTTCTCCTGCATCTCCGTGCCTGGGACATGGTGTTAACGCAGTCTGGCAGCAATCTGACCCCCTCTCTGATGACAGGGTGATGAGGAAAGGTGTTCTCAGTGCCAGGTGTCCCTTCCAACCCTTCTCGCTCGGGGTACCCCCGCTGCCCTCCCTTCTCTTCCTAAATAGCCTCTTCTTGCACCCACAGGGCCAAGCCCAGTGCTGCGCTCCGTCCGCATCGTGGAGATTGATATGGCCATCCAGTCCCAGTACTGCGCAGCCGCCGAGGCGTGCAGGTGAGCACTGCAGTGGGAGCTCCAGGGGAAGCAGCTGATGGGCTGTTTTCTGCCATCCCCCCAAGGCAGCCCCTGCTGCTTCTCAGGCAGACAAGCTGAGGCTCCGAGTCCTTCTCAGAGTGCTGGAAAACTGCATTTGGCAATGAGCTCATCCTCAGGATGCTCTCCCCTCAGAAGTCTCAGCCCAGCAGAGATTTGGGGGCCTGTCCTGGCCCTCTCACAGCCACCCAAAATGCTGTGGGGAGGCCTAATGCTCTCTCTGTGTCCGCAGGACTGGAAACTTCACCTACCGCATCCCTGTCAACCCGCTGACAGCAGTGAACACCAACCTGACCCTGGAGATGAAGTGAGTAGACAGGGCTCAGCTCTCAGCCGTTTCGGGACCCCTGAAATCAGCCAGATACCATGCCACGTGGCCACGGTGTCTCCTGCCTGAGCTGGGGAAGAGACCAGCAGAGTCTCACAGTCTCTTGTCTCCCCAGCTCCTCCTCCACCGTGTCCATCACCCTTTGTGGCCTTGTCTCCAGCAACCCCTGCCAGGATGTCATGAGCACAGACAGCTCCACTGATGCCACTGATGCACAGGTAAGGAGGGTCATAAAATCCACATGCCTCGTGTCATCCCAGCATGCTGATCCCTCCAGAAAGGACTATGGGAGCCTGGCTAGGACAACACAGGAGGGAATTCATGCTCCAACGTAGCCATGCACTGCGCTGGCTAACATCAGTGACCATCAGGCACACCTGCAGCCCCGACAGGGAGGTGTCTGTAAACCTACTACGTGCAGTCACCCATCCAAAATCATCCCACCCAGCCCCTCTGCATGAGCCCCGGGGCTGTGGGGACAAGAAACGGGTCCTCTGTCACTTCTCTCTCCCTTTGCAATACTGGATTTGAAAGCATTACACCGGACTGAACGTGGATGCTTCTGCCACGTGCTATGGACGTGTGATGCGGCAGCCCCTGGCTAACAGAGCTCTGCTGGGCGTGGGAGAGGCCCATCTTCTCCCACAAAGCAGGGAACGGCAGCGACCAGGGGCCCTTACTGTCACTGTTCTCAGAAAGCAGTTATGTTGGGTGTATTTGGGGTATTTTACTGTTACAAGTTCTTAACCTGACAAACTACTGAATTTATTTTTTTTTAAGCTGCCGTAACGTGTCCTAATGAAATCCCATTGCAGGGGGGTTGCAGGTCTTCATCAGACCCCCAAGTGCCTCCTTGCCCCTCAGCCCAGCTCGCCTGCTGACCTTGGAGAGGTCACCTCTCCACGCGACAGCACAGCCTGCTGTGGTTCCCTGCTACTCCAGCCTGGGAGAACATCCCCCAACGCTCAGCCCCCATCTCATCCTGGCTCTTTTGTTTTCTTCCCCAGGAAACGACACACCGTTGGCCTCTCGTGATGATGTCTTTCCAGGAGTTTACCTACCACTTCAGAGTAACCCAGCCTGTGAGTACCAGCAGCTGCTTTGTCCTTCCTCTTGCCCAGGGCCAAGCGGAAGGAGAGTGATGGGACCACGGCAGGTTTAGTGGCCACAGCGCACTGAGAGGCTTCCACAGCCCTCTCTGCCATGGCTGTTGCCTTCCATGGTTATGTGGGTGGTGGGGGACTGATTTTTCTCTGCTCCAGCTCCCAATTCAGGCATAATTCTGCCCTTGTGTCCTACTCTCTGTAAGCTTTTTTTCTCGCTCTCTCACAGGGCCGAGCCAACTGCAGCACTGCTCCCGAGCAGCTGGGCCACCTTTTCACTGACTATTATTTTCAGTTTTACTGGCTCTGTGAGTGAGTCCTGGCAGCACCAGTGCCCTCTGGTTGGAGAGAGGAGGGGGACTGGTGACACTGGGGAGACTCCTCCTCCGCTAGCCCCCCAGCCCCACCTTCTCCCTGCCTCCCGTGTGGGGTGTGGAGCTGGTTTGGTTGGGGCTGGTGACGCAGGCACTGAAGCACAGCACACGCGGAACACAGGACCCGAGCCACAGGAACACAAACCAACCCTGTGGCACCTCCTGGGCTCACCTCGCACCCACTCCCACCATCCCACGCCGCCCCCAACATCTCTCTCCTTCCCTTCTGGGGATGCTTGTGTCCTCCATCACTCCTCCCGCCCTTTGTGACACTGGATTTGAAAGCATTACACTGGACTGAAGGTGGACGGGTCTGCCGCGTCCCAGAGCGCGGATGGGAGCTCCATCCTCTCCTGGCCCAGCGGTCCCAGACATCCCACATGAGTTCTTCACCCAACACTGGAATTGCTCAACACTGGAGCCCTTTCCGAGAGCGAAACGCTGGAGTTTGGCCTGGAAAGGAAGGCTGTGCCTGGACGTACTGGAAGTCGTACGTACACTGGAGTTGCTGTTCCTTCGAGTTGGCCTAGTGCCATCCCCCACAGCCCCACTCCACAGACCCCCAGACCCGCAAACGGACTGTCCTCTGTGGACAAAGAGAGAAGGTGCAGCTTCAACATGAGCCCTGTCTCTCCCCCTCCTTGCTGTACTCTAACTTGCACCGTATCCAGCTCTGGATGAACTCAAGAACCCCACTAAAGATGCTGCTGAGGCTGCGCCCAGGCCAACCCGTGTGTGGGGATACTTTGCCATCAGCCCGTGGGAGAAAAATTACCCTGAGTCACCTGCATTATCGTCATGGGACACTTTTTTTTTTTTTTTTGGCAACAACCTGTGGCCTCTCCCAGCATGTGTGGAGCTGCCTGGTCAGCTCTCAACCCAACACACCCACCTCTGCCCAGATGTGCAGACAAGAGCCCACTGGCAGAGCCCAGTGCGCCCTGCAGAGCAAGGCCGAGGCGCTGGGGACGCGTGACGTGGCTTCGGGGCATAACAGAGCTCTGCCAGGCACAGGAGAGGCCCATCCTCTCCCACAAAGCGGGGAATGGCAGTGACTGGGTGCCCTGGCTGTCACTGTTTTCAGAAAGCAGTTATGTTGAGTGTATTTGGGGTATTTTACTGTTACAAGTTCTTAACTTGCTAAACTACTGAATTTTTTTTTTAAGCCGTATAAAAATGGGTCTCTTAATTCTGTCCCTCCTGAGCTATGTGTGTCCACATAAGAAACCAAAGGGGGCCACTGCTAAGCTCCACGTTGAAGTTTGACCACGACACGTCAGAGCGACTGACCAGCACCACGCCACCTCCTCCTCCCCATCCTGCTCCAGCCCCTCTTGCTCAAAACAAGACGCCTGCCTTCCCAAGGCTGAGCCACTGCCAGGCTCTTCTACCCGAGATACGTTTCTTTACAGCAACAGCAGCCGTGGCTGGGGAAAGGCGTCAAGGGGGAAACGCTTCGGAGAGGAGCACACCTTTCCCCTCACAGCCCCCTCACAGGACACAGATAACTTGAACCAAACTGGATTTGGGAGGCTGCGTCAGGCTCTGGCCATTGCTTTTTGGTGCTTTCAGCAGATTGCAGTGATCCCTCCCTTTGCCGAGGGCTGGCCGCGGTGTTACCGGCACCGAGGAGTGCATGGTTCGCCCTGCTGCTCCAGAGAAACACGCTACAAAGATCTTTTTTTTTTTTTTTAATCCAGATAGAGGGATGGTTCCTGTTCACATCCCACGGGACACTGTGGCCGCCTCTCCCATCTGGGGAGTTTTATCTCCTGTCACCCATGTCAGAACTTCCTGAGCTTGGCCCAGCAGAGCAGCCACAGCCCTCGCAGCATCACTAGGAGTTGGCATTTCTGCCACCAAAGGCTCTTTATTTTCAAGGTTTTCATTCGCACCATAAAAACACTTAACCACACACTGGTGACGCTCTTGAGTTACTGAAACACCCTGGACACGCAGGAAGCAGAGGGTGAGCAGGGAAGGCCAGGCAGCAGTGAAGCTAGGGGACTACCCTGATAAAAAAAACAAAAAAACAAAAGGTCCCGAGGCTTGGGAGTGCTGATCATGAGCAAGTCAGCTTCATGCTCAGCAGGATTCGCTGTTTCTCCCTGGAGCTGGGAAGGAAACGCTCCGATGTAGCTCTCTAGCTCAGTGCTCTTCCCTCCCTGAGTTTTTTTTGTTTGGCCTTAGAGTGGGAAGTTACCTTCTTGGCAGCTTGTATCCTCCATTTGGCAATCAGTGGCCCAGTTTGGCAAGTTCTTATTCAGGTGATGGATGCCACGTGCTCCTCGATGTCTGCTCAGCTGACAGGTAGCCTTCTCAGCCCTGCTCTTTTCCCTTTTATTACTGAGCTGGGCTTCACGCCTGTGCGCTCATTCAGCCCCTGTGGAGGTAACTGGTGGCGTTGTGAGGGCCAGAGGGGAAAGTTCTGCCTGTAGCCACCACCAACCTCTCCTCAGGGGTGGGCCTGGCTGAGGGCGGCCCAGACCCATGAGCACATCTCACCCCACCATGGGGAAAGTGGCTTCTGGAGGGGAAAGAATCAATCAGTCGCTAAAAAATGTGCTCACAGTGGCAGCCCAAGAGGAGATGGAGCCTCTTGGGTGTCCCTGCGACGTTTCGCCACGGGGTTTCCAAGGGCCCCTGGCAAACCAAGTGCCTGAGGGCTACGGGAATGTCTCAAGTGCCTTTTTCCACTACCAGGACAGCCCAAGGAAACAGCGTGTTTCCCATTCACGTGTAAAATGTTGTGTGCCTCAAAAATGGTGGCCACTTAGCTCAAAAACCTAAAGGGCAAAGGCCAGCCCTGCCCACGTCCTGCTGTTTCACAGCAGAGCAGCACTGGGCTGACAGCAATCCCCAGTGTCAAAATGAGAGGGATTCAGAACATGGTTTTCAGCATCTTATAATGCAAATACTTATCTTTTGCCTTAAAGCGTATCACAAAGTGTACGCCAGTTCCACCTGCCGCCGCACAGCAGAAATGAGCTCAAAAGGGGTTTGTAATAAATTAAAGGGTCACAGGATTTGTGTCTAAGCCCGCGGAAACAGCTGTTTGCATAGCCTCCCCCCCAAGATGCCCCTTCCCCAATCAGTAACAAGAGAGGTAACAATCAGGCCTTTCCCTGTATGAGACGGAGGGAGCTCTGAGCCGATGTCTCCAGCTTGGGGAAAACTTTCTTTTTCCGCTGGAAACGAGACGCTTCATCTCTCCAGACATTCCTGGCAGGAAGGAAGACAAGTGTAGAAACAAGGCCACTTGCCAAAGTTTGGCTGTTTCGGAGTTTGTTTCAAAAGCAAATTCACAAACATTTTGTCCTACTGTTAGAGCTTAAAGCCTGTAAATAGAGACTATGCCACCACTGCAAGAATTAAGAAAAAAAAAAAGTAAAGCACTAATTTGTTTGGTTTAAATGTTGCTGTCACAGCTTTAATCACTGTATATTGCCAGCAAGTTTGTAGAGTTGCATTCTTAGCAGGTATTATTGATTATCGGTTTTTATTTGTGGGGAACAAGCGTTGTTTCCCTCCTTTCTTTCTGATTTATATTTATATTTTGCTGAATTTTGAGTGCTGAGTCTCCGAATTCCCCACTTTTTTTTTTTTTGTTTGGCTTATTTAGACTTTGTTTTATGCTGGAGGTAAATATGCCCATATAAATAAATATATAAATACTGCTTTGTATCCAAGGACGGCTCCTGGTGCTTTCCTCCCTTGCTATGAAATAAGTGTCTTTCAGGTCAGGAGCTACAAAACTGCTTCCCACAAGCCAGAGGAACAACCCCCTCTGTGTCATTAACCAGCCAGAGCTTCCAGTCATGGCCATGCAGGGTGAGAACAGCTTGCTGCTAAAGAGCTCTCATTCCTCATACCTCGAGGTCAGGGCCACATCCAGAGGCATCTGAGAGCACCCGCAGAGGGAAAGCTGCCTTCCCAGGCAGGAAATTAGGGCTTGAAATCGCTAAGTTACCTGTTGAATTTCTGACTTTGACATCTAATTGCTTTGAAATCTAGATTATAAATTCAAAGCCACCTTATTATAAAAAGTTAACACATGCCATAAACTCCTCTTTTATAGGCAACGCAGTAATTCACTACTTAAGTAAAGAGCCCATCCACCTACAAGATTATTCTGTCCTGTACTTCACCAGAATTCCTCTCAAAACACCATTTCCCACAAACACATCTTGGCTCACCCACTACAGTGCCCCTCAGACACTCATTATTCTTGCTTTGCATCCAAGAAGCCGCACCAGTGCAGATCCCTGGCCAGAGACTGCTCTGCATGTGTTATTTCACCCAGAGCAACCAGTACATCCAGCATTGGCTCCAGTTCTAATATGGGAGGGCCCCAGCACCCACTGCCAGGGGCAAGCGAAGCACCTCGGAGCAGTGCCCTGTCCCTCTCCTGCTTTATGAGAGGCCATGAGCGCTGCCGGCTTGGGACGAGAATGGGCACAGCCTTCCAAAGAGGGGACACGATGGTAGTCGAGGTGAGGGATAAAAAAAGCAGGCTTAGGAAGCAGCAGGAAGCACTTATTTTCTAGAGTCTAGCTGCACTAGGGTGCATGGTGGAACTGAAATGATTCTGGGCATAGAGCTGTGGAAATCAATGATAAACACCGGGCCCATGCCAAGGCACGTGGATCTTGTGCCAATATCAAAGTGGTTTGGAAAAGCCAGGTGGAAAAAAAAAATAATCTAAGACAAATCCTGAGTCCAAAGGCAGGTGCATCACAGAGCTGGCTTTATTCAGGTTTGGTTTGTTGGGCTGGCAGAAGTCACTCACCAGGAGCACAGCCCACACCTGATCCAGGCTTTGTCGTTGAAGTATAAAAGAAATACAAAAAGACCTTCTGCCAGGCTTCCCACCTGGAATGAGATGGAGGAGGTTGGTGAGACAGCGTTCCCCAGAGCCAGCCTCTGCACTATTAACGCCACAGAGCAAAGGACAATACCCAGCAGATGCAATTCCATGTGCCTGAAATGGAGATGAATGCCTGTTTTGCTCACAGTTACCGTGGCCACAGACGCACTCTCCAGACAAGTTACCCAACAGCTGCTTTGCAGCTCGGAGCAGCCACGATGCTTAAGCCCAAAGGCCGCTGCTGGGATGAGCCTTTTGCTCATTCTAACTTTGCACCCCGAAGAAAAGTGGCTTTTGTAAAGCTCAGATGTCACAGAGCTGCTTTTCCAGGATCCCCCCCCACACCCCAGAGCACTAAGACCTTGGGCAGCTTACAGCCATCAGGATTCACGAGGTGCTACCGGTGCTCCTCCACCCGGGTCTCAGACATAGATACCGACCCACAGCAGCAGGAAGAGGACGCCGAAGCCCATGAAGAGCGAGGCCACCAGCGAGATCAACAACTCCTTGTAGATGTCCCGTGTGTACTTGGTAGAAGTCACCTCGTAGCTGCAGCCCAGGGGTTAAGGTAAAAACGGAGGTAGAGGGAGGTGAGGGGCCCACCCGCCCGCTCCCCTGTCCCCCCCTCCAACCCGGGGATACACGAAAAACCAGGCGGTGAAAAACATGCCGATGGCCAGCAGCACCACGGTGAGGTGGGGGAAGACGGCCGGGTTCACCGGGCTGGTGTATCTGCCTATCGCCTCCAGCTCCTGCGGGGAGAGGGAGAAGGTGAACGGCACCGCCGAGGGACGGGACGGGACGGGACGGGACGGGACGGGAC